CAGGCTCTAGCACTGCACTTGCTTACCTCCTGGASGCCTCGTCACCCTCTGTGCCTTGGGCCCCTGACTGTCACACAGGAGGGCTGGAGCAGCACTTTCCAGAGGAAGGAAGTGGGGAGGGGGGACACAGTTCCCTCCTAAGTACAGAGTACAGAGTCCTAGGGACTCTGGTGGCCTGCCCCAGGCCTAGCACAGGCCTCCAGCTAGGAGCATTTGTGGGCAGGAAGCCACGTGCCCTGGGGGCTGGGAAGAGGTCAGGGTGGTGGGTGGCCGAGCCTAGTGGGCACTCAAACTATGGCCCAGAGTCCTCCCTGGAGCAAGGCACCCTCACAAGGCCCCAGAAGATGGGGTGCAAGACAGAAGTCTGTTGCAGCCCCCGAGGCAAGAGGGAAAAGGCCCATGGGCTGAGAGGAGGGTGCCCAGGAGTTCTCTGAGACACCAGGGCACGGGAAGGTCTGGGATGCCTGTGGCACTGGACAGAGAGCACATGGCTGCCTCCCCGTCCCAGGGCTGTCTGTGCACTTTGCCCACCACGGTTCCCAGCCAAACGCAGCGCCTCCTCCCTGAGCTTCAGCTAGGACCCCAGTCTATCCAGACAGAAGGCCCCTGGAGCCACCGTGCCAGCAGCTGCAGCCATCAGCCCAGTCAGCAGGCTCCTCTCTGCCTAGATTGAACTCTTGGCATTGCTCTTGACTGCACCCCAGGAGTACAGAAAAGCCAGTTCAGTGTCTGTCGGTGTCTGGCTGGACCTGCAGGTGCAGCCCCTCTGCCGTTGGGTGGGTCTGACCTGCTCCTGCACCCAGGGCCTTGGTCCTGTTGCAGCCCCCAGCCGCCCACCTGTCCTGGCAGACAACCCCTCCCAGCTCTTGCCATGAAGAACCTTGAGCAGGGCCTGCCTGCTTSGTGGGGAGACTGCTCATGGACGTGAGGTCAGACCCGCCACCTGATGGCAGGCCACTGGCCAGGCTTTCCCTGCGGGTGCTCTGTCRGTGCCAGGGAGAGCCGCTTCATCTGGCCTTCTGTGTGCTGGAAGCAGTCACCCCTCTGCACCCCTGGAGGAGCCCAGGTGCCCCTCACAGGGATAAGACTGCACCATGCATCACCCTTTTTTTCTCATTTATAAATGCAAAACTTAAACAGAACAAGATGGCCTGCAAGCGGCTGACCAGTCCACTGAGGGGCTCATGGATTTCAGACCATGTGCAGAGAGCCGTCTGCGGCAGGGCCCAGCTCTGAGGGAGCAGAGCCAGTGGCCTGGCCTGCGCCTGGCGAGCASTGGGTCTCTGCCACAGGCAGGTTCGCAGGTGGGACTCTGGTCCAGCCAGCCTCCGACTGAGCCAGCCCCCTGTGGGCTCGTGGGGCTGTGCGCAGGCTCAGGTGGTACCCGGTGCCACCGCAGCCATGCCACACCAGGGTCAATGGCTTTCCAAGTCCAGATGGAAGCTCAGTGCCACTTCATCCACAGGCTCCCCAGTTTCTCTGTTTACAGACTCTGGGGTCCCAGGGGCCATGGCACTCTGGCAGGCCCTCTCAGCAGTGCTCAGCCACCCCATGGGACTGCCCCAGGTCGGGAGGGGATGGGAGAAGGCCTGATGTCTTGTCCCTCTGAGCGACCTGATGCTGCTCTGGTTGAAGTCACTTGGCCACAGTCTCTCCCTGCTGGTCTCTGCAGTCAGCCCCAGAGCTCCCAGCAGTTCACATCCTGCAGCCAGCTCGCTCCAGGGTGYGCCTCTGCGGGGAACAGCTGCTTCCTGAAGCCAAGGCAGGGCCACTGAAGTGGGGTGTGAGCATGCCTGGCAGGCCCGCGTGGGTGCTGGGCAGCGCTGCCACCTCCTGGAACACCCACCCTGAGGGGAGGGACTGGAGGTTTCTGTCCAATGCCTGGGTGAGAGTGCTGCGCTCCAGGCAGGTGGTGCCAGGACAGACTCCCTTGTCCTCACCACGTGGCAGTCACCTGGTCCCCTGGGTTAGGGTCASGGTCAGAGGCCTCACCCACAAGTCCTGAGACTTAAGTCAGCTTTAGCAGGGATTCCCACCCCCCCTAAGGCCAGACATGAYGGGTGTCCACACTTCCCCTCCCAGCAGGGACGACCCGGGCTCACAGGCTGGAGGCTTCTCCATCAACCTCACTCCATGAACTCGGAGACTTAGAAGCACACGCACTTACACTCACGTTCTGTAAGTGCATCTGTTGTGTGATGGGGCCTGACTGGAGTTGCCGCATCAAAAGGTACCTGCATCTTACACGTCTGTGACAAGTAGCAGCACATCTTCCTTCGAAGGGACGATCTGTTCCCACTCCCAGGACTCGTTCTGGGTCAGTGCCGTCAGTCATCAAAACTTAATTCCCAAAGGCATTCTTTGTTTCAATTGGCCTTTCTTTAATTTTGAGCAAAATGGAATCGTTTTTCCAGGTTTGCGGCCCCTGTCTGTTCTGTCTTCCTGGGGAGCACTTCAGCTCTCCTCTTCCTTATGGAGTCAGGTGGGCTTCGGCTGGAATAGCCTTCTAACATTTGCCCTTGTCTTTTGATTTTCTTTTGCCATGAGTCATTCCTGTGTTTTTCTTATTATGGTAAAATATTCCCAACATGAATCTCGCCGTTTGGCCAGTTTTAAGTGTCTTCTTCAGTGGCATCACRTACGTCCAYSATGTGGTCTGTCATCACATGGTGRCAGWCCAGAGTCTCCCGAGGACTGGGCGTGAGCTCCCTGTGCCCACTCCTCTGGGCCCTGGAAGCCCTGTGTCTGGGACCCACCGGTATGTTCTTGGTGTGTCTTCCTCGCTGTGCTGACGGGGTCTTTTGAGAAGTGACTTTTTCATTTTGGTCAGGTCCAGTGCATGGGTGTCTTGTTGGCTGTTCTGGTGTCACGTTTAGGAAATCGTCTGCCCAGGGTGGGGCAGCTTTCCCCTTCTCTTGTAGGAGGCGTGAAGTCTCAGCCCCTTGCTCCGTTTCTGAACTGTCCCAAGTTGGCTTCTGAGCGCGGGCTTCCTCTGGGGGGTCTCTGTTAAACCCTCCTCAGGCCCTGGCTGATTTGGCTGGTCGCGGGCTCTCGTCCGCATCTGTACTGTTCAGAGGACCTTGTTCTCGTGGCCTGGTCACAGCTCTTCCTGTCCCTCCCTGTGGTCAGCAGGACAGCCACCTCCTCTGCTCTCTTCACTGTGGTGACTCTGGGCAGCCCTCCAGCTYGGTGGCAGGTGCAGAGGCCACCTGAGAGCTCCTCTCACCTGACGCCCATTGGTCTTCTGCTTTTAAATTTGGACAAGCTGCAGATATTTTCCTTTATGGTTTCTGAATTGTGCGTCCAGAGGCAAAGCAGCCCCCACTCGCGCTGAGATCATTCCGTCTAAACCCGACCACAGTCTGCACAGTCCTCTTGATAACAGCCGTGTGAGTGTGCGGCTCCGWTCTTCCCATTTTAAGGATTTCTGTGTTTCCCATCTGCCTTCCCTGGAGCACAATCCGGCTTAGGATTATTAAGTCATGTGGGCTCTTGTAAACCAAGGTGTCAGTGGGCTCTGTGTCCCTCCCACRGTTGACCTTTTCATTCCCCTTCATCTCCCACCTCATCTGCCTRGAAGATGAATGGATAAGCCCCCTCCCCCCCAAAATCTGATCATTCTTCAGAATCGAGCCAGGATTTCCTACCTCTGGCCATCCAGGCAGGAGGCAGGCCTGGGGAAAGGTCTACACAGCATGCAGTGCGGACATGGCCGGGGAAGAGTCAGATCACACTGCTCCAGGTGAGAGGGACAGAGGGCCACCACCAAGAGCCTGGGAAGGCCTGTGGGCTCTGCTGGGGCCCGAGCGCCGTCCTCACCTGCTGCCCTGTAAGAAGCCTGGGTCCTGAGCCAGCTGTGTTTGGAAGGACCACCCTCCCTGTGCCGGGCCCCTGTCCTAGTGGAGACTCCACCCCAGGAAACGGACAACTGCTGGCCTGGCTGGAGGAGGWGGGGTGGCTGGCCCACAGCCAGTTTTTGCTTGGGAAGCAGTTGGGGTCCCCTGGGAGGGTGACCATGTGGCTGTGTGCATGGCAGGAAGGAGGGGGTGTGGGCAGGCTGTTGGTGAAAGGAGGCCACTTGAAGGGTAAGCAGCCAGGGCTCAGGTAGGCCATGAGCCCCCAGAGCCCGACCCCCTCTCACCCACAGCCCCGTACACCCCACAGCAGAGCACAGCTCTCATGAGCCGAGCCTAGAGTGGGTCACTGTTGAGAGCCACGGCCGAGTTGGGATGGCGCCTAGCATGTTGCTGTACTTCCGAGTTCTCGCGGAGTTCCCGTTGAGTTCCGGTCGAGCTCTTGCGGGGATTCCTGGGGAGTTGGYGTGGGTTGGTGAAGTRCCGGTGGAGGGAGTCCYGGTGGTGTGTGGTGTGTCCCGGAGAAGGCCGCGTGGGTGGCGTTCGTGGGAGTTGGGAAATAAAGTTTGTTYCTGCTTGAGTGGCCGTGATTTGTRCCCAGCCAGACGGCGGCAGGTCACCAGTAGGATTTGGTGGGAAGTGAATGGTCGGGTTGTCAGAGAAGATGCGCGGGTCAGGCAGCACCGAGTCACCCCTCCCAAGGGTGCACTCCTGTGAGCTTCCCCGGAAGGAGGTCGGAGTTCTGGGGCACCACGAGGCAGCTGCTGAGTGTCCTTCATTAGCCAGKGGACAGGAGGTGGCTGGGCTGGCGGTTCCCTTACCACCTGGACAGGAGACAGAGGAGTGGGAGGGAGGCTCCTCCTGGGGCCGGGCCAGGGTCAGGTGTTGCCCACCCTGGACATTCCACCCCCTGGAAAGTGCAGCAGCCTCTAAATGGACACCAGCTGAAAAGGACCTCTCTTCSGCCGGCAGAGTGAGGCTCCTCTTCTGCTGAGACATGGCAATGTGCCCCTGGGAGGAGAAGGCTAGCTGCTGGGTCGGASTCAGCCTCTAACGGAGTCTGTTTCCTTGGTTTCCAGAGGAGCTGCAGGTGTGCCGAGCACTGAGTCTGACCACCCCAGCCTCATTGATTTGATTTTCTTTCAGCTGATAGCAGCGATGGATCCAGTTCGGAAGATGGCAGGGAATACCAAAGTGTGAAAACCAAGAGGAATCGGTAGGTGGCAGTGTCCTTTCCTAGTGGGGCTTCCCTAATGGGGACTTGGGTGGTGTGCGGAGAGATCTCTTTGACTGCAAATGAAGGACGGCAAGAGAGTTTGGGGTCTGTCCTGGAACCTGCTCTGGGCACCTCACAGAGGCTCTGGCTTCTGAGACACGGTGGACAGTCTGGTCCATCCCTGTCCTCCCAGGGCCACTTCCAACCCCGCCTGTGCTTCTGGAGTGGAGGGAGTGGTCAGGGTGGGCCAGGCACTGAGGAGCAGGCGAGGCTCTGGTGGGCATCGTGGAATGACACTCCAGCCCCGTGCCTCACYGGCTGAGTGACTCTGGGCAGTTAATCCAGCCTGGTCCCAGGGGCCTCATCTGTAATGGGACTGCAGGGTTGAGACATGCCGGTGGCACTGGGTGACGAGATCCCGCCCAGCTGGCCCGTTGCCCATAGCTGTGGGACCGGTCTTTCCTCCCAGCAGGGCGTGGCTCTTCCTGGTCCCTCCTACAGGGCAGCTGGCCGGCCTTTACTTCATACACTGAGCCCCACATCAGAGGCGACGTCGGGGAAGTTGGGGAACACGTGTGTAAGCACCCCCGTGTGGCCCACAGAGGGGGGCGGCCGTGGCCCGCACCCCATCCTGGCGACTCCAGAAGGTGCCTGGTGCGCCCTGAGCTTGGTCGTCGGTGGCCGTGGAGCCTGGTCTCCTGCAGTGGACGCGTCCACACGAGCACTGTTCCTCTCCCCCCCCTTCATGAGAACCACCGCCCAGGCCTGCAGCGCGGATCCTGAGGCRGTGGCCGAGCGTGGCCCTGTGGCGCTTCCTTCTCTTGGCCTTTGCTGTGACCAACACTCGTCCCAGCCAAGGAAGCAGGGGTGCTCTCCGTGCCTTTCCCACCTCCTCGGCCCTTCCTCCTGGGGTGTTCCAGTAGAGGATGAAGGACACTGATGTGACCAAGTGCCGCTGTTCTGACAAGTGGGGGTTCAGGGTACTCGAGGGTACCCCAGGTTAGAYAGGAACAAGACCTGCATTCTGTGATAAGCAGACACCACAGAACTTTCTAGAACAAAGAGGGGCAGGATRAGCACAGTCCTCCCCAACTCCAGGAGGGGTCTGGCAGGAGGTGGGAACCTCCTCTTCTCCCTTGACTGCTGCTGCCTCACCTTCAGCACCTGGAGCCAGCAACTGCGSTTGGGAGGATACCAGGGCAGCCATGCAGCAGAAACCAGTTCCACGCGGCCCCAGGGTGGGCCTTCTGCCCACCTCAGGGCCTATTTTCCTGCTGCCCCAAATCTCCTAGAAGGCTGCTTCTAGGGGTCAAAGTTGGGTGGCCACCGGTAGTGGACACATGGGGTCTCTGATGATGGCAAAGGTCCAGRARSSGGGSRGGGGGGRTTGCCTCTTGGCCCCAGGGCCACACTGTGGACATTAGCCAAGCCAGCCCTGCTGTCTGTGCACACGCACGCTGAGTCTGAAAGGCGTTGGTTGTGTTTCGTGTTGGGCAATCTGACCTGTCCATCAAGGAACATGCCTGTGGAGTCTGCTGGAATCAGTCTGTTTGGCCCTTTGGGTATAAATAATAGAATTTTCCTCATCAAAAAGCACTTAAAATCCTCCTTCAAGGTGGGACTATTCAGCAGCTATTTTATGATATTTGAGGGGAAAAAAGGAGTAAAACTGAGGAGAGGGCCCTGGAAGTAATGTCTGCCCCTGGTTTCCYAGGAACCCTGGCACAACCTAGGCATGTTCAGGGCATTCATATGCAAATGAGCAGAGTGGATTGGGCCAGTAATTGAGGCCCAAATGGTACTTTYCCTAAACTTCCCTTGGAGAGGAGAGCGTCACAATGACAAGCTGTYGACTCCCTGGCCAGGGCCATTAGGGAAAGCGCCTGCTCACTGCTGGGCAGATGTGCTCACGGCAGGGCCACCCCCCTCCCTGCCACCAGAAAGGTGGCTGATTGTTGCTGGTCCCCTTTCTGCGGRTGCCGGGAGGTCCTGGAGGTTCTGATGTGCACATCTTCATAKCTTGTATCTGCTTCTCGAGTTTATTTTAAGGAGTTGGGGGTTTTTTCAAATAGTCGGATTGTCTTAGGGATTCAGCTAAAATATGTCATGTGTTTAAAAAACCARAATGAAAGCATGCACAGACACCCTGGAGAATTCCCAGGATGTGCGTGTCTSCTAGCCCCCTCCTGGAGGCAGGGTGGCCTCAGGAGCTGGATTTCTGCTCTGCTGACGGCTTTTCGCAGCACTGGAGAGCTGAATGGCTCTGTTGTGTCCTCAGTTATCATTGGCCCAATGACTTTGAAGTGCTCTTCCATTTTCATGGCATTTGGTGTGGATTTCTTGCACTACAGGAGGCCCAAGGAAACCTCTGGGCTTGGCCTACTGTTTACTATGGTGGTGTGAGGGGTTTGGGAAGGTCAATCGACGGCTTTGGACGTGCGTGGCCAGGGGACTTACTATGGCACGGGTGTCACACTGGTGCTCTCCTGAGGCTGTACTCAGTTCTGGCTGAAGATTTGAGGCCCTGGGATGGCTTCATGTGCCCCTTGTGCCCATGTCCCTAAACTCTCCACATCCCTCTCCATGGCCCTACTCTCAGGAAAACTAGTGGCCACAGGACACCTGCAGCTCCTCCTCTGGAAGGAGCTGGGACCTAGGCCACCCTCAAGAGGCAATTCCCACCAGGACCMCCCCCCATGCCCAGGCATGACCTTGAGATGCCCTCTAAGGAGCTGTGTGACTGTGATGGAGCTCCCTGTGTTCTGCCCTTCACCTGCATGTGACCTGGGGCAGGTGGGTCCTTTCAGAGCAGAAGAAGCACGTCGCATCTAAAGGGCAAATGTAAGAACTTGACGGCAGCTTTCAGTCCTTGCTAGGCAAGGCCAAGTCTGGAGACTTGCCACCACCCTGGACRGTCTTGGAGCCACGCCCACACCTACCCAGTTCACTGTGGGAGGAGACGCTCCTGTACAGCCAGACCCCTGCTGTGGAGGCAGAGGTGAACAGAGGTCAGCCAGTGTGTCCAGCAGGCAGGAGGCCAGCACACCAGGCCTCTGTTCTCATAGTGAGAAGGAGCCCCTCTCCTCCTGTGTCCTTGATATCTGGAATCCCAGGAAAATTAACTATTGAGAAAGTGGGAACGTTTGATAATCCTATAAAGTAAGTGCACTCTAAATGAAGATCGTTATAAACTTATGTCTTTAACTTGTGGCTGGATAAAGGCAGAGTTACTTGTATCCCCATCTTTGCACAGGGGTCTGGTTGAATTCTCTGGGGACCCCCGCACTAAGATCGGGATACAAGATAGGAGGGTGCCCAGGTCTTCCTGGTCCTTAACGTGCATGGAGAAAATCATGAAGCTCCACTTGCCTCTTAGGTCATCCTGGGTAGTTAAGTCAGTTCTGTAAAGAAACCTGTGGTTGTCTACGCGGTATGGAGCCTGGCCATATGCCATCAGGGCATGTTGTATGGGGCCTTCCTTTGATCTGTGGGAAGACTGAGTGGAAGCAGCCATTTGTCAGGAGGTTCSATGTGTCTCTTTAGGCTGAAATGTGGAAGATATTCCCAGGTGCTTATTCTCTTTGCAAAAAAGGACCCTGAACCTTAGCATTTCTGAGAGGGGAGACCCGAAGTCAGCAAGCGGGACTTAAGCTGGGGACGAGGACTCGGCACACATCTAGCAGACGCTGCAGAAAAGGGYCCAACGTGACGACAAGGGAATGGGTGGCCAACGAAGGAGCAGTGGTGGCTTTGCCTATCGTTGAGTGTTTATTAAGGGAGAGTTCACTGGGAACCTGGAGCCGTGTGCTTCCCTCTCCCGCCCACCTCTCAGCCTCAACCACTGGAAAGGCAGGTGCTGTCCACCTGTCCCCCAATCGCAGAAATCATGTGAGTACCACTTGTAAATATTTTAGGATAATGACTGAAATATAAGGATTGAAAAACGTAAGTGTGGTAAAAACCAGTGATTCTCAACATTCTCAGATGTGCCCCTTGCTCCCATTTCCTGGATGGCTCCGTTTCTCTGGATTCTGTATCTCAAGCCGGTTTCCACACGAGGTCCGTGGCTGCCCTCTGCAGATTTTCCTCCCAGAGGAGCCCCTCCCCTCCATCCACGCGTTTCTTCATTTGTTCTGTAACAAGTGGTTTCTTCTCCTGTGGAGTTTTTCCAGTTTGGAGCTTGTCCCTGTCTCTGGTTTGCTCACCGTGTTCTTGGGTCCCTGTTTGTTTTTCCTCCCTGGTAAACAAGGCTTGGCTCTTGTTTTGGCGGGGACGCTTGGCAGTGGTGYGGCGTTCCCTCCATCCTGCCTGTCGCCTCTTGGCCATCTGTCTTTTTGTGTTGTGAGCAGGTGACTTGTCTGATCCATTATTTCCTTAGGGGCTGCTAACTGGAACCTCTCCGATCTCCATTTCATTGACGCAGAGGAGCATGAACACTTCCACAGAGACTTCTCCCCGCAGACTGTCTGCTTCCCCTGGTGGTGGCTTGAGCAGAACACGGGACACATGTTCAACTCTCCCTGTGCCATCGACTTAAGAGCAGGGTACTGGCTCCCGAGCCTCCTGGGGCGGTGACCGTCCACGGACTCCACAGGGTGCTGCGTGGCCACGGTAGTCCCCAGCTCTCCCTCACCACCCCCGCGGTCAGCTGTCATCTGCTGTTTTAAAAGACAGTAACGGACCACGTGCCACTCTTGGTGGTGGATGGCCAAGGCACAGGAGCGATGTCTTCCTTGTCATAGTGTAGCGGGTGTCTCCTGATAGGAGGACAGTTGTGAGGGTGTTGTCCACTGCTCTGCTCCCGGGTGGCCGCTCCTCTCCTGCGGGATTCCAGGCCGCCTGGCTCTTCCCTCCTGTGGCTCCACTCTCTGTGCCCCTGGTCACATGTCCCTTCCTGCGTCCTTGTAGCCCTGTTCCTCCTCTCCAGGGGCACCGTGACATTCACTCCCTCTTGCTCCTCTTGCTTCACTTTCATTTCTTATTCGTCCCTTTTGTTCTAA